TTGTCAATTACACAATACTGTATTTACGAAAGTATTATTCAATGCTGAATTTTTGAAAAGTCCAGGTTCTTCATTTTTTTTAGAAAACCTGTTTGCAATTTTTTCTCTCTCTCTTTAGGAATAAAATAAGTTTACAACAAATCGGCTGTGCTGATCAGCGTTTGTTTTCCCACCAGAGGAAATGCTTGCTGTACCCAGTTCCTGCTTAGTGTTTCAAGCATCACTTTAAAATCTCTTCCCACACAGCTCCTCAACCTTTCCAATTCAATAGCATGCTGCTGTGATCTTTTCAATTGGGAAAAGCACACACATTTAGTTTGTCTTCAATGCTGCTTTCACCAAGATTGCTAAAATCTTGTCTTCAGAAGGTCTGCTCTGATAAAGGAGTTTCACCAACAACTTTGGAATTTTCTGGAAATCCTCAGTCCTTGTATTAAACTAACCAAATGTGATCTTGTTTAATTTTTCTGATTTGGGTCAGAAATAGGTGATACTCACTGCTGAAGCCAGAATAATAAAAGTTAGATTAAATACTTTCTTCCATTAAGCAATAGCAGTAGACTTATATACCGCTTCATAGGCCTTTCAGGCCTCTCTAAGCGGTTTACAGAGAGTCAGCATATTGCCCCCAACAATCTGGGTCCTCATTTTACCCACCTCGGAAGGATGGAAGGCTGAGTCAACCCTGAGCCGGTGAGATTTGAACCGCTGAACTGCTGATCTAGCAGTAGCCTGCAGTGCTGCATTTAACCACTGCGCCACCTTGGCTCTAAGGCAAGATATTTATATCCAGAACCTATATACAACCCAATACATACAGATAATTCACATATCTGGATCCGTGATGATTATTTCTTTCTACCACCCCTATAGTGATGCATGGTCAACACCAATCATACTTACACAAACAAAATTCTCCAATATAAAACAAGCACAAAAACAAATGTTAAAAGGCAGCCATTGGGCAGTTTCTAAATGTGATAAATAAATAACTAAAACATAAGATTTCATTATGTTGAGCTGTGCTTCATATAAAGATCCCCAGATTATATGAAGGGATGTTGGAAATATTCAAGATAAAATCCAGGACAGGAAATTCTGTACACATGAAACATTTAAAAGTAGAAACTGAGAATAACAGAAAACCAGATTTATTGATGCTTCCATTCTTACTGTCTCGTGTGGAAACATTGTTTGTTAGAACTGAGATCGTTTATTAAAAATATTCAGTATACTTTGCAACTTATTTTTGAGTGTTTCCAAATCTTTCTATAGCAATATTTTAAGAATAAAAGAAAAGCTCCTTTCTTGCATATGTTCACTCAAAGCTGTTAAATTGATGATGAAAAATCCCATGAATAAGGATGAGTAAAGAAGAACAGTAAAGAAGGGAAACTAAACTACCTTTTAAACTGAGTTTTAAAAGATGGTACAGATTATCCTTGTCAGATACTCAGTAGCTGAGTATCTTACCCAGTATATTTAAATCTGTTATGAATGTATGCATTGCTTATGTATTTACTTATTTATGCATTTATTTATGTGGTTTTCTGCATTGATAGTACCATGTTCTCTTTCTCTTTAATTACACACACACAAACACAGTAACACAATCCAATGAACAATGTACATATACTAAATAGTGAAAATATTATACAAAAGAAAAAGTAGGATCAGATATTGTACACAAACAGACAAAAATCACATCAAACAAAACACTCCTTGAATCTTAATCCAAGACTGGGGAGAACAACCAGATCTTCAAGCTTTCTAGGTGGGAGGCACATAGATTTTCAAGGTGATCTCACTCCAGAGGGCAGATGCCACAAAAGAGAAGGCATACTTTCAGCATCCCAACAAACAGCACTGCTTAATTGAAGGAATTTGGAGCACATCAATCTTGTTGGCTTATAGTGACTGGGAAGATATCATGGTCCCTTATATAGCCTTGACCTGTGCCATATTGGGCTATATAAATGCTAACCAGTACCTAGAGTCATAAGTGGAAGCATGTGCAAGTTTAGTTCTCAAAGCACAGGTGTCACATGGGAATGTGACACTGCCCATGAGGTATGCCTATCACTGCCTGCAGTGCTGCATTCTGAACCATCCAAGTAGTATTCAAAGGTACCACCGTGTGCATCATATTGCAGTAGTTAAGCTGTAATATGACTAAGACATCAGTGACTACTTTCTAGTGACTGTTTTGAGCTGTGGGGTTAAATGATATAATAGACTTGTTAGGGTTGGCAGAACTTCAGGAAAACTTAATGTGGCATGTTTCCTTCAGTACTGCACTCTTGTTTAGTTTAGTTTCAATGAAATTAAATGCCATCTTCAGTGTAAATTACTAGTATAAAACTAAAACACACACACATCCTTCATATTCTATACAAGAATTCTATACTCCTCTCCTCCTTACTTGTAAAACTATTGAGTATTTATATTTTCACTCTTCATAATGTAATGCATTATTGGATTGAGATATGTCATCCTTTAAGATATTTTGTCAGTTCAGGGTCTTAAGACATTAGGCACTTATTACTGCATTACAGGTTCATAGATGATGTATCCTGTTTAGGCATGCACATTGCTTTTGTGCTGTTACTATTACTTACTTACTGTTTTTAATTAATGGTAAGATGAGTGGAAGGAAGAAATCTCTTACAATGCAATGATGTCATGGAAAACTGGAAAATGAATCCTGGAGCCCTTTTCATCCTTGCCATAGGCTCTAAACCAGATGTTCTCTCCATTTTTTTACATCCAGCTTTAAATATATTTGTCTTCCTAATATTTGCTAGGTATTAAGCTTAGCATGAAACATCTTTAGTTACAGAATCTTAATGTTCCTATATGCCAGTAGCATGGAGAAAAGCCTGAAGACTTGTAGCAGTAATTGTATGAAGTATCATTAATTCAGGTAGATACAGAAGATAACATTACTCACACACAAAGCTAGTCTTCTGATTCTATGATTTGGCAGGCTGGAGTTTGTTTCATATGTGGTGACTAATGGAAGCCACTTTCCAGTTTAGTAAAATGAACATGGATTGTCCAGTTTCAAAAGATAGTCCCAACATTTGAATGTACCGTATTTGTTGGAGTATAAGAAGCACTGGAGTATAAGACACACCAAGATTTTGAAGAGGCAAATTAAAAAAAAATCACTCTGCAAACCTCCCAAAAATGCCAATTTTTCATGAAAATGGGCCCATTTTTGTCAAAAAAAGGGCATGCATAGCCTTTAGGAGGCTTATAGAGTGCTCCTGGGGGTTGGAGTGGGCAAAAATGAGCAAAATATGGTCCATTTTTGCTCATTTTTGTCCTCCTCAGCCCCCAGGAGCACTCTAGAAGCCTCCTAAAGGCTATGCACGGTCATTTTTGCAAAGAGGATGGGGTTTCAATACGCCAAAAATGCTGTATTCAGTGTATAAGATGCACCCATATTTTCACCCTCTTTTTTGAGGGAAAAAGGTGTGTCTTATACTCCAAAAATACGGTAATCCAGATTTATCAGAGAATTAAAAATGAATAATTTCTTAACTAAAGAAGTATGTCCCTATTAAACAATACTTTATTCCTTTTAATGAACACATTTGTCTTGCTCTTAATCAACTGAGAAATACCTAGAATTACATGTTAGTCATGATAGGAATGCTCTTGTTTACTTTTGTATCGATGAAGGAAGATAGATAATGAACTTTAGCCTCCTGCTAATTGTAGCATATCTGATCTAATAACAAGTTCACTGATTTTCCTTCTTATGTTACAGTAAATGAAGCATTTTCTCAAACATTTAAAAAGTTGCGAGTATTTACTCTTAATAAATGAACTACCAAATAATTTTCAGCTAGGTCACAATTAATACAAATTCAAATAATGCAATATTCCGTTTAGTGCAAATTGATGGCAGGTTGGGTTTAATGTGTTTAATGTGTTGTGTTTAACCAAAAGTTCAATTAATGTGATGCTAGTACAGGTGCAGTTATGGTTGGTATTTTAGAAACTGCTAATGTTGTGTGCAACAGGGAGAAAAGGAAGATTCCAGTTTTTCCCCTGGCCAGGTGGTGGTGATAACCCAAGCATGACTGCCATTTTCTCTCACTCACTTGTGAGCAGATACAAAACAGCAGCCATGAAGCAAACTGCTTAATTTTACTGACTTAACACGGTCTGTACAATTCTGAAAAAGCTTTTGCAGTACCATGCAGACCTTGCTAAGGCAGCAAAATGAAGCAGTTTGTCCCCTGGACCCAAACCTGAATGGGTCCACCATCTGTAGGCAGGATAAAATGGTGGCCGCTTCTGGAACTGCGCCATGCGGCTACACAGAAGAGCAATTCATCCCAGCATTCTAGGAGGCTCGGGAGCTCTTCAAAAGGTAAATGAGGAGGAGGTTGTTTGGCCTGGTAGGATGAGAATCAGGCCTAAGGCTGGAGGGACCCAGAGGGAGTGGGAAAAGACCCATGGGAAGCCAAGATCTGAGAAGTGGAGCACAGGGTATCTTGGAGTGGTGGTGGAGGGAGGATGGCCTTAGAAGGGCAGGGGGATGATTGCCTGTGCTAGGCCTCCAAGGGCCTCTCTCACCCTTGAGCTACCCTGAACCCCCTTAACAACTGGGCATTAATTTAACAATTCATTGGGGCAAGCAGGGGTGGGGGCTTATTAGATGAAATACTCCACCTAATGACCATTGCAACATGAAAATGTTATAGGCAGGCTCCATTATGGTCATATCTCAAGGACTGCTTGTATTTTACTATTGGACTTTATTTAGTCATAATTTAGTGACTTCAGTTCCCACTTAAATGGAACTTTATTTGTAAATATTGTATGCTCATAGGTGTCTTCTCTGAAGAAAGTCTCATCACATTCAGAGGGGTATACTTTTAACTACGCTTATTAAGTGACTTGATTGTTCTTCTAATAGTGCTTATTAAGTTCTTTTTTTTTAAAGCATCTTGTTCTTTTGTTTCCTTAATGTTTCTGAAGGTCTTAACATGGGGGATGTCAAACTGGTATCGACTCAGATCTCCAAAGCGACCTTAACTTTGAACCACTCTTCTCTAAGAACTCCCACTGCAACAGAAGCACCAGCATTTATTCTATCTCCACGAAATATCCAGGTGCCAATCGGAGGCACAGCAAAATTTGAAGGACAGGTAACCAGAGCTATACTATACAATAGTACAGTCTGTTCTCTGGTAGTCTGAAGGGAGTGGAGAAAGTGTGTGTTTTATGTATGAAAGTAATCTCTGTGTGCCAGGAGTCTACACTAAACCAAATGCAAATAATGACAATAACAACATCACCTTTAATGCCTATAAAAGTACAGAGATAGTCCAGAATGCGGCCGCGTGAGCGATTGTGGGTGCACCTCGCTTCACCCACATAACACCTATCCTCCGCGAGCTGCACTGGCTACCGGTCGATCTCCGGGTACGCTTCAAGGTGCTACTTGTCACCTACAAAGCCTTTCATGGTAGTGGATCTGGGTACTTGAGAGACCGCCTACTGCCAATTACCTCCACCCGACCAATTAGATCCCATAGATTAGGCCTCCTCCGAGTCCCATCTGCCGGTCAATGTCGACTGGCAACTACGCGGAGGAGAGCCTTCTCGGTGGCAGCTCCGACCCTATGGAACGATCTCCCCGTGGAGATTCGTACCCTCACCACCCTCCAGACCTTGCGCACAGCCCTTAGAATCTGGCTATCCTGTCAGGCCTGGGGTTAAAGACTGTAACCCACCCGAATGGTATGAATGTTGTGCTTTTAATGATGTACTGTCCTATGTGTTAATTGTTTGTTTCCCCCCCTTTTCGAGTTGTAAGCCGCCCTGAGTCCCCCCAGGGAAAAGGGCGGCATATAAATAAATTACTCAATACTCAATACTCAATACTCAACGGTGATGTTGTTATTGTCATTATTTGTATTTGGTTTAGTGTAGACTCCTGGCAACTTCCTGAACTAGATGCTGCACTTTTTTTGGCAATAATATTTGTTTGCCATTGCCTTCTTTTTGGGGTTTGAGACAGTGACTCGCACAAAATCACCTAACTGGCTTCATGCCTATGGACAGAACATACATTTCTACCTTAAACGTTACATTAAACTGGTTCTTTTATTATGAATTAATCATTATTAATTCTGTTATTGTAAATTTCATTTTTATTCTGTCCTGATTCTATTTTTGCAAGGCATGATTTTTGTTTTATTTAATTTTAGTTTATCTGTTTTCCTTTTTCATGTATGCATGAGGGATTTTAGGACAACACAATTATTTGGGCTTTAGCCATATAAATTTGAAGACCTTATTTCAAAAGTGCTAATTAGGATTGTGGTAGCAATTGTCACTTCTCAATAAACAAAAACTTGGTGCGTTTTCTGAAATTGTTTAAGCACCATCAGATATTAACAAGACATTTATAGTTCTCTCATTCTTTCTCAGTTATCTGGAAGCCACAAATGAATGTTAAGAGATATAAATTTCACCACAGACATAAATTTCTTTGGCTATTAATGTTATTTGCTTTCATCACATAATAAAAATATTAAGAATATTGAACTATTCATGAATTAAAACTATTTTTTTTTACAAATAATGGCTAGACAATATTTTTTCTTCAAATAACTTTTTCCACTGGAATTTATCTAATCAGAAAGAATAAACTCCTTGACATTTCAAGACAGAAAATAAAGATAATATTGTAAAGATCGTATGTTTTCATTTTAGAAGTATCTAGTAAGAATACTTCAGAAAGAAAGGCTTTATTCTTTTCTAAATATATAAAAAGCTTGTAAAGCACTTTGGATGAAAAAGAATGGTGGAGCTTTAGAAAATTACATAAATTCATAGCAAGTACTATAAAGTAGGAAAAATATTTAATTACATTTGGGTAAAAGGTCAACATCTTTCTGAATAAATTCATTTTTGTTTTAAACTAAAACAAAAGTGTATAGTGCTTCTTTCTAGGTTACTCAAAAACTGGCTACGGAAGTGCTAAAATACAAAATGAAGCATATAAAGAAAATATGAATGTCTTAAATGAATATTTATAAAGAAAAGTGCTTTGAATTCATAAAAATTAATTAAAGTTATATGTATGGAATAGGGTGTAGTAGCCTTTCCCTACACGTTCCTGAATGAGTAACTATAAATAAATGGCTCAGTGAATCCTATTGATTCCAGAACACTCATGGCAATCATGCTTGCTAAACAGCTATGATTATTTTGCAAGTGACAAGTTTAAAAAAGAGCACAAACGGTATCCCTGGTATGCTGCAGTCAAAAAAGGAAACTTCTAGTATACCCTCTCAGTATGTCTTTCAGATGTGTTCAGCTACCATTTCCATTTAAAATCTTTCTGCCTTTTGAATAAAATTGTGATCATGTTAGCCTTGCAAAGCTAACCATAAGCTTAGCAGAGCTTAGTTCTGGCATAGTGAGAATGGTATATCTGGTTTTCAGTTGGATATGTACTTGTTAAAAGTTTCATGTTGGCTCATCAAAATTCCAATGATATTATGTTTAATTTAGCTATTTCAAAAGAAGATAAGATTTACTGTGAATTGAAACTGAATTCCTCTTTGAACTTTTCTAAAATATGCGTTAGCAGAAATTAAGATTGCTGTTTCTACATTTTTGGAAAATGAAAGAAAGTAAGAAAAAGCAGTGCATCAGATTTGGAGCTTATACATAAAATCTAGGTTGAAGGATGGACTGTTAGAATATCTGTGTTCCCCATTCCCCGAGAAACTGAAGAGGCTAGTCTGAGACGTGAGACAGTGAATGTGCCAAAGGATGAAGAAACTTGATTAAGGGAATGTGCTCAGTGATGTTAAATATTTACTTTCTATATGCAGGGATGCTTAAGTTTCTAGAATTGCCTTTCACTCCTAGTGCCATTCTATATAAGTACAGGGTTTTTTTTGGGGGGGGCGGGGGGTATAGTTCTTTAGAGAGCCAGCTTGGTGTGGTGGTTAAGGCATCTGGCTAGAAACTGGGAAATGGTGGGTTCTGGTCTTGCCTTAGGCATGAAGCCAAGTCACCTTGGGCCAATCGGTCTCTTTCAGCCCTAGGAAGGAGGCAGTGGCAAACCACTATTGAAAACACTGCCCAAAAATTATAAAGAATAGTCCAGGCAGTGGCTGATACTCAAAAAGCTGACTTGAAGGCACATACACACACACAATTATTTAATACTGTCCAATAGAATAGAATATATTATCTCCGGGTTGAACTTTGGAGTCCTTGGTGTTCTCTGAGCTTGGTTGTTTGCCTACAGACATTTTACAGATGTTACTAGATAACATCATCAATACCAGTGGGGGGGGGGGTTGCTCCTGGTTTATATACAGTAACTTACCCTGGCTATTGTTGATAGGGATGTGGTTTCCTCCTTAGTAGTTTCTTGACTATTGTTTTCTGCTTGATTGTTTCCCTGCAGTCAACCCCTCCAGGTTTATCTGTGTAATATTGAGTGATGTATGTGTCTATTGATGGGTGATTTGTTTGAATGCCAAGCTTTTATTTATTTATGTGTATTCATTTATCAAATTTAAATGGCTGACCTCTCTCAAGAACTGTATTTTTTTGTATATTTTAAATTGTACTGCTAACTAGGGCATACAAAACCTTTGCCAGACCAATTCTCGAATACAGCTTATCTGCCTGGAATCCACACTGCATATCAGACATTAATATGACATTAATAATAGTATACGGACATACTATATGTTTCCAGGAATTCCCTAGCATTTTTTGGATTTAACTTAGTCTAGGATAGCTGAGTCATTAATACTATATATCATCACCCTGCAGCAGACTCTTGAAAATTGTAAAGAAAAAGGTGTATTTCATTATTTTCCTGTACTTCAAGGCCTCCTTCTCCATCCACCTATTGGGGCAACACCAAGGCATCTTTTCAAGCTACATCTGCATTTTTCAAAATAAGGTCACAAGAGCTATTTTGGGATAGTCGTAAAGGTACCTGGCTAGAAACCAGGAAAGTGTGAGTTCTAGTTCTACCTTGGAAACAAAGCCAGCAGGGTGACCTGGCAATCAATCTCTCTCAGCTTAGAAAATAGATAAGGGCAAATCACTTTCTTGGCACGAACATTGTGGGGACTTATCCAGGCAGTTGCCAGGAGTCAAAAACTGACTCAAAGGCCACATTCAAAAAAGGTCATGAATATGATGTGGAGAAACATCATGAGACAACAGATAGGTGGTTGCCATAGAACACCTTCCTTGCAAGTCCTTTCTTGGTAGGCATACCACAGAATGCCAAATTCAAGATAACAGAATAGTTCCAGGGACCTGCATGAAGTCTGAATGTTCCTTTTTGAATCCACTGTTTGCATTTCAGTGGTACTGTTGCCTGGAGAGCAAAAGTCTCTGTGCAAAGCTCTGACTATCTACATATAAGCTGATGCTTATTCTGCTTAGGGAATGACAATGGAGAGAAGGTGGGGAACGTGACAGGCTACAGCATGATAGGGATTTAACAAGGACCAGGCACTGTGCTTTAAGAAAAAGACAAGATATGTTCTTCTTATCTTACAGTGGTTATATGAAAAGTGAAGTGCCCATGCATATTCACTCTGCTCGTAGGAAACCGTGTGTGTATACAGTATATGTAGTGTAAGTGCAAGGGTGACTTTTTTTTACTGCAAGTCAAGGTGATTGCCCTTGCCTAAATGCCACCTCAGCCACATGTTGCAAAACATCAGGTTTTATTTGCCTTCCACAATTTTTATATTCATTCTGAGGCACTGCATATTTTCCAGAAATCATCTTACAAATCAGTTCCAAAGAATCTTGCCAAGAAAAGTGCAATGATTTGTCCAGGCAATCGCCAGGAGTGAAAAACCAACTCAAAGGCACACACACACACACACACATAAAAAAAAAATCATGAATATGGTATGAAGAAATGTCATGAGACAACAGATTAAATGGTTGCCATAAAGCACCTTCTTTGCAAGTCCTTTCTCAGTAGGCTTACCAGTCTGATACCATAGAATGCTAAATGCAAAATAATGCAACAGTTCCAGGATCCTACATGAAGTGTGAAAAATGAACTCTTCATTTAAAATGGAAAATGTATTTGAAGAAAGAATTGAATTTTACCAAGTAAAGGGACACTTTTAAAGAGTTA